GATTGTAAGGGGAGGGTGCTCAAAGTTCTTACAAACTCACAACGCCTTCCACGAGCAACGTGGAATCCAATGCAATTAGTATCGTTACAATATAGTAGTCAAATCAATTATCAAAATGTATTTACCATAAAAGCGACGGGATCTTGGGTTTTGTTTGACAGCCGAATTGTACAAGACACTTGTCTCCTGAGTGTATACGGATCATAACAAGTAATATAGTCGACCTGATAGTTCCCACGAGGACTACTTGGTTAAATTATTCCTAACTTTAATTTGATCAAAAACAAATAATAAATTTTTTGATTGGTATCTAAATTATTCTAACTAAACTAAATTAATCTAACGTACACAATTTATCGAATTTCGATTTTAAAAGTATGAACATGGATGCTAGGACTTACAATTTCACCTATGGATCCCCTTTAATTCTCCATTCAAGATTCATTACTATTGTAGTGTTCAGTCATATTCTTCTAAAATATTCAACTTACCCCTCTTGAATTCTCTTTGAGTCTGTTTAATTAATTCAATTTCATATCTCTATATGAATCAATCTTAGTTAAACGAAATATTAGTTCTAATAATTCGTCTAATGACCGCAATAATTAGTATAGATAGATCCCTGCACGTTATACCAAATTATCGAATTTTTATATGTGGTCTAAATCTAAAACGCATCTCGCAATTCATAATAGATTCACAAAATCATTGAATAATTGACCAACTAATTCAAAATATTAAATTCATGAATAAAATCAACATATATGCATTTAAAGAACTAGAATTTTGAATAAAAGAAATAAATGGTCACACATAAATTACATTGTTAGCCCTAACTATGAATTTAGCTACTCATATTAATAAAAGAAAAACAAAAGGTACAGAATTCATAATCAGGTTTTGAAATCTTGATCATTGAAATAATTGAATCTTGTACCATGAATTTTTTCCAAGTTCAAAAGTCTTCAAACTCTAGCTCTTGCTCTTTGATCTTGATGGCTATATATTTTTCTCTCCCTCATATTGTCTGGAACTCCCTCAAAAGTGTCAAAAACTCATATTTACACTCCCCACACACTACACCAAAAAACACCATTTGCAACATATAAAAGGCAACATTTGATAGTTAAATGTTGCTAAAAGGGTCTCTCGCCACATTCTAATACGTGAATGTTGCCATTGCTTAACAAAATTGAGCTTTGGCAACATTTTTTAAGTGAATGTTGCTAATGTTGCCTTTA